AACATCAAAATTTACAATATTTGAAGCGACTTATTTATTGTTGTAGTGTCATTGTACTTTGTAAATATTTTAAGCTGTTAAGTTAAACTGAGTTTTTAGTATTATTATGGTAAATAATCAGGCTTTAATTAAATAAAATTATTTTTTACTACACAACACTTGTTTTACTGTGTAAAATAATAAAAGGAATGAAATAAAGGTTATTGTGCTGTCAATTGAGTTTTTAACCAATGTTAGAATATTCTCTAAATTACTCAAACAAACCTTATATTCAGCACAGCGATTCCTTAAAAATTCAACAAGAATTCGAATTCAGTTCGAAAGTGACATCCGTTAACGTTACATGGCGTAAGTGAGGTTGACATAGGGATAGAATATCTGAGATAGGTAAATCTTGGTTTGTATTTTTATACAAAAAAAAATCAGTAGAATTTCTACACAAATATAAGTTAAGCGGAATCTCTTTCGAAATGAATTAGTTCACATGAGTGGACTCGAATTCCAGTTAGGAATTTCACGGAATCGCTCTGCTGAAGTGTTTTTAAGCGACGACATTTATCATACCTGTGTGCGGATGTTATAGATAGGAATAAAGGCACTTAAAAACCGCGCTGAAGTTTGTGAGATCATTGTTTGGAGTCATTTTTAAACCGGTTAATGAAGAAAACCGTATTTCTAGTAAACCAGTTTAAAAGCCTGTTCAAAGGAGCTGAACCTTTTATGTAGTTTCGCATGTGCTTACGTCGAACCGGTTCAAAAAATTAACCGGTTTCCAAGCCCTGGTACGCACGGCTGCAAGGCAAGATTATTAGAGTATGTCAAATTTCTCTGGTTGATTTTTATCTTTGCCTCCAAAGCATTTTAAAATCAAGCTGAGAAATTGACTTGACATGCTGTTGATTGTGTCATCGCACCCGTTACATTGGCGCCCATCGTGTGGCGACGTAAAACATTTTCCGTTTTATTATAAAACGAGGATTTAAATAGATAAAATTTTTATTGCTTTCTAATATACATGGGCTATTTCAAATATATTTGTTGTACAGGTAAGATTTTTGTCGGGGTGGATTTGCCACAATCGCCACGCTTGGCAGGCGTGACGCTGCTAACCGATCTTCCAACGGCAATGATCCCTTAGTCCACGGAAAGACAGGGGTTGGTGCTAATCTAGCCCGGCACACATACGGCAGGAGAACAAATGTAACCAACATTGCCTGAAGGTTTGCTCAGCTGAAGTGGCAGGGAGCGGGACACATAGTGAAAAGAGCTGATGCCGTTGGTGCGGAAAAGTTCTCGATTGAAGACTACGTAGCGGACGACGCTCAGTGCGTAGGCCCAACTAGGTGGACCAACGGCTTAATAAAGGTCGGGCAAAGCAGATGGATGTGGGAAGCGCAGGACCGATAGTCGTGGAGACCCCTGGGCGAGATCTATGCCTAGCAGTGGACGTCGAACGGCTGATATGATGATTTTTGGTATAGTGCAAAAGGGTAGTGGCTCAGCTAATGCTGTTACAGGATCGTGTTCCCAGACAGCGTTGATTTTCAGCTATCCCTATATAGTTTGTGCTTTGTATAAACCATTGGCAGCCTGGAGCAAATTGTCAATGACATAATAGAAAATCAAATTGAGATGTGTTAACTAATTTTCGTCGGGTAATGGTTTAAACCTGTTACTAAAGAGATATAATAAACTTTCTGGTCACCCATCTTATGAAAAGCCCTCGCGAAAATGGCTTAACTTTCCCAGATCGAATGAGCTAATTACTACGCCATCGAGCTACTGGATTATATAATACTAAAGGACAATATCGTAATAGACACAAGAGTTGAAATGAAAAAAAAGACACCTCTTAATATTTATTATCACAACACATACAAAACTTCAATAATTTACAGATAATAACTAAAATATGTACATTTGTATATTTACAAATTATCACATAAACTCATAAAATAAGCACATATGACGTCACCTTTCCATTGTATTACTAGCTTTATGGTATGTAATCAAGGTTTCATTATTTCCTACTAACAATAGATGAAATATTTATAGAGTCCACTTCTTATTTTGACAAATAACATTATTATTTGTCAAAATAAGAAGTGGACTCTAAAAACCACAACAAAATAAAAGACTAATGTAAGGTACACCCGATCGAAGAGTGTAATTTTTCCAATAACAAGAAAATCTTGATCAGTACCTTTTTTTAACGCAGTAGAAATGCTACTTTAAGCTTTAAACCAATGTTCTCTGACTTCGCACTCGTCCTGAAAAGGACAAGCGAGGCTGCCTTACCTGTTTAACCCGCTGCGAGTACCCTCCCTCCAATCCGCATTGGGCTAGCGTGGAGGGTCATGGCCCATCCTCCTTAACCATCCATAAGGAAGGCCTGAGCCCCTGCAGTGGGGACGTAAAAAGGGCTGATGATGATGAGTACCCTCCGGGAGAAGGAAGCACCTGGGATCCGATATGGAGCCCTCCGATATATATTCAGAATTTTGTATTATTGAATACCGCAGTCGTGGATGTCGGTTCATAACCAAAGAATCGTTATTGTTAATTATTAATTAGAATTATAAAGACCATATTTTGAGCAAAATATATTGTTACGAGCACCCTAGGCAGTTGCCTAGTTTGGCTATATGTACGGTTCGACCCTTATTTAAGGGTCGAGACAATTGTGTAACCGACGGCGTTCGAAGATTACGCCGTTAATAACTCGAAGCGATCGCATTCGAATTCTTTTCCTACGACACGACCAACGCGCTATGGCGTCAGACAGAGACAGACTGACATGAAACGCGAGCGATCATCGATCACGATCGACGGCAAACGTCGATAGAAGATGTACCGCACTTTACAAAGTACAGATTGCTTGCAAATAAAAAAAAATGCATTTTTTAAAACAAGGTTTTATATGATGTATTTTATTCTACAAGTTAAGCCCTTTCATTTGATACACATATTTTGATATATAAACGCACCTATTCTGTTACGGCGGCCATTTTGGAATAATACCGATTATACATGATTGAATTGTCATCAAAACTGAACGTACATTTCAAATTTCAGTTCAAACCGAAACTGGGAAGTGGGTGAAATTTAATTTACAAAATTTGATTACAGAAAGACAAACGGGACAGGTGAAAAAAAAAGTTCATAGGGTTACCAACCGAAAAATAAAGTGTTAAACACATAACACATATCATAGTTTCACATTAAATGCAATGAACTTCCGCAAGATAATTCACCAGCCTTTTTACGTCCCCACTGCAGGAGCTCAGGCCTTCCTTATGGATGGTTAAGGAGGATGGGCCATGACCCTCCACGCTGGCCCAATGCGGATTGGAGGGTATTAACAACTGCAAATGCAGCCGGGACCAACGGCTTAACGTGCCTTCCGAAGCACGGAGTAGCTCGAGATAATAATTTTTTGGTCACCCATCCCGTGACCGACCCTTGCGAAAGTTGCTTAACGACTACCTTACAATAAAATATGGACACTTAAAGTTACACATATAACAGTAAAACTAGTGTCATCAAATAATTAATGAAACCTTGATAGATCACGAGAAATAATATAATGTACGTTGCAGTGTCTATACATAAAGTCACAGTGTTGTCTTATTCTAACATATAGCAATTACTGCACTCAGAGTGAGACAACGAGACGTTTGTAACATGTAGGTTATTATAAATAATTTAAATTTAATAGAATATAATTGAAAATTAATCACAATAGGATTTTTATAGTCCTATTGACTTATTTCAATGTTATCGATAAAATCGATAGTTTTTAATTTCCATTTTGATACATCCTTCATTATTGTTCTTCATAAAAATAAATCTTGACTATCTTTAATTAATATATATTAATATCTTGATATTTTTAATTTAAAAAAAATAAATTTAACAATTTTTGAAGAACAATAATGATGTATGTATCAAAGCGGAAGTTAAATTTCCGAAAAAAGACCCAGGTTTATCGATATCTATATTTTATCGATATATTATCATCGACTAGCGATCTTTTTTGAAATATAACATTAGGTACAGTCGGCATAAATATAGTCTATATCCATACAGTTGTTGTCAATTTGAACATATTGAAACAAAAAAGGTAGATACCTCCCACTGAAGACCCCAATATGAAGTTTGTTTATGGGTTGGTTACCATAGTCTGTTTCTAGAGCGGATGAAATCCCGCGGAAAAAAGACGAAACATAACCTAAATTACCTATGTGAACGTCTAAAGTAAACTATACAATCGCTATTCATAGAGCTCTGTATACCGTACTTTAAAACTTACATTAAACTTGCTAACCGTACTTTAAAATAGAGTATTGTACTCTATATCCAGTACCAGTCACGCATACCTCTATATGACGCATCCCTATTATCGTAACCAAAAAAAACACCAAATAATATAAAAATATATATTTTCGTTTTAAAAATAATTTTCTTTAAAGTCCGTACGGTCTTTTTCTAATAAAACAACCAAGCTTTAGTAACCCTAATTTAACGGGACGCTATAGGTCACTGGCCTCACCCTTTATAACAATTATAATCAATACTCCGTACAAACGATAGAGTTCTATGGCCAACGATACGTATTGTTTACGTTAAACATCAGACCCGGATCTACAACTTATCCAACCGGGGCAGAAACTTGATATTGCGTCCTTAGCCTACCCCCCCCCCCGCACATATTTTGTAGCGTATGATTTAATTAACTTTAATTTAGGTAGTTTGAAAAGATATCAATTGAAAGCCATTTTTTATCCTATGTTATATTATCATGATTTTAGCCCCCTGATCCTGGCGCCCGGAGAAAAGCCCTTCCCCCTAGATCCAGCCCTGTTAAAAGTTCACATAACATTGAGTCACTGTCCGTTTTTAAGCCAGCATTAGACTTTACAAACTCCTACCAAATGAGCTTTAAGAATGTGAATGATAAATTCACTGAAAATTAGAACGATCACTCAATATGACGCCGTTCAGAAGGCTTTCTTCGTTCGCTGCGGTAATATCGATTCTTTGGCGAAACTGAAGAAGGACAACAGACTGTACTTCTTGGAAGTTCTAGATAAATAGTCTGTTACCACATTATTGTCACCTGCAAAATAAAATAACATAACATAAATATATTATATAAGTATAGCCGTAATATATAGAGTATGTTCCGATATACACTGCGAGCACTGCGCAGTGGTCTGACTGCTGAAAAATACGGCCAGTACACTGCTACAGTACCCTAGGGAAATTTATGACGTCATCAATTGCCGCCATATTTGTACTGTGAGCACTGGAGATTTTGAGGTAAGGTGCTCGCAGTGCTTTTGATCACGTGATCAGTCGAAACAGTTGAGTATTGTGCGTGATAGTTCAAACAATAGTTTATTCACTCGGAGTTTATAAACAAATGAATTATTGCGCATTCCATTACCTATAATTTTTTTTCTAATTATAATAATAGATAGTTATTTATTGCAAAAAAAAAAAAATTTTATCAAACATAACCAATGCGTAATTAGCGTATTACTAAGTATTTGTTAAATATGCGTAAATTAATCAGAAAATTATAAGTTTCTGAATAAACAAAAAAAAAAAAAAACTTACGTTTATTATAAGATGGATTTAATTGATAAATATTTTTTTATACAATTTTCCAATTTTATAATACTTTCTTTTGAAAAGAGGGAATCTTTATATTATATTCACCTTGCATTAACAAATTTGAAAATGGCGCCAAAAAATAGGATTAACAGTATACTGGACTGCGTTCCGTTTTAAAAAGTCACCAGTATAACTAGCTATAAAGGAACGGGCTTCCAGTATACTAAATTGACGTCATACTGTTCAGTGGTCGCAGTGTATATCGGAACATACCCATAGTATGGTGTACTTTAGGATATGTTGTTGCATAATATTTTGTTATAATTTATTATATGCTACTGTATTATTTTTTTTCGCTTAATATTCAGGCTTCAACATCTTTTCTGGTTGACTGGTAGATAACGCCTTTGGCATTAGAAAGACAGAAAGAAATCTCACTTATTGACCCAGAAACTTAAAAATAAAATGTCATTAAGTCTGCCTTTTGTGTTTCTATACGTATAAAGGATAAATAAATAGTACTTCGCCGCGTCTGTCTGTTTGTACAATATACAATTTAGAACCTCTAAACTGTTTCAACCGCGTTCTCGTGGTCATATCGGGTGATGTGACGTCACACGCTGAGATACCGCTTTAAGCGAAATTATCCTAGCGGGCGCATCTTCAAAGTCCCATAACTTTTTAATTTATATTTATATTTAAGGATTAAATTTGTTTTTCATTATTTTGTTTAATTTTGATTATTCTTTTATATAAAACAAATAGTTAACTTTCTCATTGTCAATAGGGATGACGACTGGGTAAAAAAAATGCAATTGCATTTAGTCCGTCAGTCAGATGATAGATTAGATACGTATTTTTTTTACTTCAATTTAACAAGAAATAGCTTAGATAACAGTCATTTAAGTTGAGGAGTGGGGGCACGCTACGTCACATTTTAGTAGAAAACGTACCATAACGTGACGTCATGCGAAACTTCAACTCCATGTAACGCCGTAATTTTATGATTACGAAAAAAATAAAAAATACGTGTTGAATTTTTTTTAACACTCTACCTGACGGACAAACAATCAAAAATTAGCCGTCATCCCTATTAGTTAATATGAGGTTAAGCCGTTGCAAATAATATAATAACTCACCCAGTAAGCTTTGCCTTTCATCTGTCGTTGGTAATACATAGTCGTTTGCTGATAATGACACAAACAGCGCGAAAGGCACAACCCACAGACACAACGTGAAGTAAGCCAGTATCTGCGTATACAGAAACAGGAGTCTTAATCACTACATAGTATAAAATAAAGTCGCTTTCTCATCACTACTATATAGTATAATACAAAGTCGCTTTCGCTGTCCGTATATCCTATGTATGCTTAAATCTTTATAACTACGCAACGGATTTTAGTGCGATCTTTTTTCATAGATAGGGTGATTCAAAAGGAAGATTTTTATGTATAATACAAGACCATGTCTTTTTATCACGTTACGTCAGGGACTGTCACCGTTATTGGGCTCTTTGTCCTGACGTCTCGACTGCTTCTAGAGACTATGGTGTCAATTTTATAGTGTCAAGTGAACTATAATAAGACTTGCGCAGAATTTTCCCTTAAAATTAAAGGGTATCCAGAGTTTCTAAAAAAAAGCAAAGTCGAGAGGACTTTGAGAGGAAAAGTATGCCTATAAGTACTTACTTATAGTTCTCTAGTACTTTACAGAAGTCTGTAACTGGTTAAATAAAGACTAGATTCCTGCCATAAAACGTTCTGATAAGTCATGAGACCCTAGTTGAATATAGCAACCCTAAGTGTATTAGGTGCTTATTACCTATTGTCAGTAGTAATAGATTATAAAAACCGGTTTTTTTGAATCTGAGTATCTGATACCCCTGTATCACCCTTACATTACACCCTTGTAATATTAAGAACAATCAGTAGGTGCAAATCTGAAACATTGCTTTAAAAAACAAGTTAGCTAAATCAATAAATAGTTAAATAAACTATTAATATGTTCACTTACCTCTGAGAAGCTATAAAACACTGTTCCAAAGAATTTGAACGCCAAATAATGGTGTAACACCAGAGTCGAGACGGCAGCAACAAATGTGAGACTCGTAACTCGCACCACAGGGAAGTCTTTCAACAGTACACAGTGCAACACTTGCTGAAATAGACCTAGAGCGTTCAGGTGAAGTGGTATATCTTCCAAGATTATGAGCAATATGTGAATAGCAGCTGTGATCTGGAAATAATGATAATAAAAATATTTTTTTTTCACTTACTAATACAATTTGAGTATCAAAGTTTAAACAAAGTCGCATTCTCTGTACCTTTATCCCTGTGTATGCTTAAATCTTTAAAACTACGCAACGGAGTTTGATACTTTTTTTTTCATAGATAGGGTCATTCAAAAGGAAGGATTTTATGTATAATACATAACTATACAGGCGAAGCTGCTGGCGGAATAGAGTATAAAAGGCATCTTTTTTTGCTTATAAACACTTAGTTTTACCCCACTAATTGTGGAAAATAATAAATAAGATAGCATTAATGATGCCAATAGGGGATTGGAAAACTTTCAAAAACTATTTATATTAATCAACATGGATGCTTATTCCCGCAAAAAATGGTTTTATTTTTTATATAACAAATATATTCCAATAATAATCTATAAACTTAATGAAGTTAGTGAAATTTATATATTTTTTAATAATATTATATAATTTTTTGTTGGACCACTATTCAATTACTTAGGCTGATAACAGACTGTGAAGATGCTATATAATATTATATTATAAATACAGTCGAATCCGTTTAATATGACACCGCCTATAGTGACCAACCGCTTATTATGACGTAATTACATAACGAAGTTTGGTTTTCATATAAAATTCTTGAAAAAACGTCGGATATAATGACTTTGCTTATAGTGACATGTCGGTTATTATGACCCATTTTTAATAAATTATTTCCGGTTATAATGACAGCCTAGACTTTTTACACTTCCGATAATTGTCGGTGATTCTCGGCGTCGTTCGGCACGTGGCTAACTTGAAAGTGATGGAGAAGAGGAAGTCGAGGAAGAACCATTACCTACCACAAAAGAGGCATTAAAGGCTGCAGAATTATTATCACGATTTGTTCATAGCAATATTGAAAATGATAATTTGACGATGGTGATTTTCTTTAGACAATACTATTAGAGACTGTTATTACAATAAAATAAAAAAAAAATAAAACAGTCAATAATTACAGATTTCTTAATAAAAAAAATGAAAAATACTAATATTACATACTTAAATGTATCATTTATAATTTTTACTTGTAATTTTTTTATGATTTATTAAAAATATTAAAATACATACCTAATTATAATTACATAAAAACAATTTTTATCACCAAACTCTTTGTATGACGTCCGCTTATAATGACGTGTTTGTCAATTCCCTTCGATGTCATGATAAACGGATTCGACTGTATTGCCAAAATTTTAAATAATATTTTAGTATTGTTAGGTGATACAATACAAAATGTCACATTCTAATTTTATACTGACTTTTTGAAAACCCACAAAAATTATAAATACTTAAAAAAAAAAGATTTCATAATTTTGTTATTGAAAACAAGTTAAATGAAATGAATGTTTGAGAAACAATTTACAAACTGGTTTATCGTTTATTTCACATTGATGGTCACAGTAACTTTATAATGTTAAATATTGTGTGCAAAATTGTTTGCAGAAATTCACCATTTTGTGGTTATTTAATGTGATTCTGTGTGTACCTTAGTAATTTCATTTTTTTTTGTAATAAAAGGACTTCGGCTAATTCGCCAAGTGGTATCAGAGCAATAGTCACCATGTAGTCTAATACAATTAGTGTTTTTAATTAATTTTAGCAGTAATTAGGAAAATTGCCAAAAAATACTTACGATCACTGTCCAAGAAATAACATATTTCGTCATTACAGTATACTCTTCTACTAATTCTGCTAAATAATACAATCCGGCCGCTGAAAAATTAATTTCGGGAGTCAATTTTGAATTAGTTTAAGAAAGACTAAAATCATATTTTGATTTAATTTTTACAGTTACAACACCTGATTTATAGTTTCGGAACTAGTTTAGATATAAGAATAATACATTTCTATAAATAGCAATCATTATAATTTAATTTCTTTCAACATCTTCTTTGCCAAGGCGAATAGATAAGCAAACTAATTAAATTTGACAAAATTTTAAATGAAAACTCACCTATTGCAAGTGTTACAAAGACTGCTTGAATAATAAGTGATAAAAGACTTAAGAAATATAGAAATAACATATTGTTTTAATTTATATTCTTTGTTTTGATCGAAACTGTAATTCTGTTTTAAGGTTATACGCGTTGTCAACGTCAATAAATATGTGTCAGTTTAAAAGTCAAAGTCAATGTCAATAATAAGGAAGCATTCAATTCATTTGATTATTACATTACACAATTCCACGAAAATCGAAAATCATCGCCATCTTTCATTCATTTCATTTTTATTTTACATGTAAAAATTAATTTATTTACTTGATATCGGCATAATTGTGCGAAATGCGCAGATAAGCCATTAATTAAAAAGAAGAAGAATTCATTTGATTCATTTCATTTTCATCATGTAAAAAATAATGTATTTACTAGATATTGGCAGAATGAGGAAGTATTTAAAAAAAATAAAGAAACTACAAAAAATTATGTTACTAGATGGCAGCACAAATTGTTGGATCTAAACGTCAATTCATGACGTTAAACCAAAGAGAATAGATTTGTTAGTGTTGTTATGGATCTGATAACTTGGATTAATATCGAGTTGAAATTTAACTAGTTCGAGTTATGCAATCGCAACTCGATTAATACAAAGTAATCTTTGAATAAATTTATTTTTTATTTGTATAGAGGAAAATGGAAACTAACATAATGGAAGTGAGCACAGAGGCTTTTTAAATTTATGGAAATCAATTGAATGCTGTGATATAATTAAAAGTGGCATCTAACTACGGTATACAATAATATTACGTTTTATAAATAAAATAGGTACTTATGTCATAGTAGGTCTAGGAATTTTCATTTTAATATTTAACAAAAGTTCTGAAAAAATAACAACTAGGTAAGTTAGTTTTATTGCTATTAGTTGTTTGTTGAACTTACAACAACAAAACTACATCAATTCTCAATATTTTTTTTATATTATGTATGGTGAATGAATGAATAGGGTTTATTAATCAGCAACAAAAGTCATAAAAACAATAATTTTTAAGAAAAATCCGTTTATTATCTATAAACTTACCCGATATGTATCAAATATACTATATATTCGTACAAAATAACATAACTGCTGGCTAAAATGACGTTTGTGCAAAGTGTAACGTGCAAATAACTTGTGCTTTCGAAATTAAGACTTTATAAAACTATTATCAGTTATTAAATCTTATATTCATAATTAAATCATCTTAATAAACATTCAGCAATTAACAAGAAACGTCTGCTCTAAACGAACAGCAAGGTTATAACTTTAAATTTCAAATCACAAAGTTATTATACTATTGCTACTGATCTTGCATGTCGACGGCGGACGTCGAGCCATGTGTTAAGTTAATTCGTACGGCGGGTTTGTTCTTTTTGGTTCTTACAATAATATTGTTAATAATAATTTGAATTCCTACACAACCTACTCTAGAAATCCGTTTTATTGAAATATATTATTTACTAAGTACCTAGAGTTGTTATGGTCTCTTAAAATCTCTGCGGTGGTATCGTGTGCGTTAGGTGGTTACGATCCCTCAAATATAGTATAGTTGAGTTGTTTAGTTGAAATTAAAAAAGCAGCCCTTGCTGAGTTTCTTGCCGTTTCTTGTCAGTTAGAGATCTCCCGCCTTAGTTTTGCGAACCATTGGTAAAGTTTTCGACTTTCACAAGTACTATGTAACAGTCTAGATTGAATTGATTTTGATATTTATATTAATATCATTCGTTTTGTGGATGCATAATGACACTTCATCTTCATCATCATTTTTGTTCTCCATTCCAAACCTGAATTCGACGAAACTTACGAGCAACCAATAAGTTGGCTCATCACTAATGTTGACGTATCAACCAAACATCGTTCCTTTACACGTAACATAATAAACAACTTAAACTTACAATTAAAATAAATTCAAATTAGTTTGAAAGTGAGACATTATAAGAAACACAAAACGATGTCATATTTATTAATCGAAAATACTCAATTTACATTTATTACGTCAGAAATAAAATTTGAATGAATATCATAAACAAAATCCAAAACTCGCGAGTGACATCTAGTATGATTTCAAGAACTAATTTTTATTTTTTAAATACTTCCTCATTGTGCGAAAGGCGCAAAAAAAAAAATTATATTGTGTCTGTTCTCAATCGTTCCTAATCTAGCTCAGAATAATAACTAGTATTATATTTTTGTTATAACTTTAAATAAATAATATGTACGTGTAAGTGAAAAATATAGAACTATAAATTATCCATTACCATTATTTTATATACCACCAACGATTTATATGTACACCAAATGTATAACCTAATATATATAGTAACCAACCAAAATAGGTTCTGAGCACGGAGTGGGAGTGGATCATCCTGAATTTTCCAAAAGGGTTAATACAGAGAATTTAACACTACGTTTTAGGTGATAAGATACTCTTAAAGAACTATGAGGCCTATCCCGTTTCCCACAAGGTTTCCGAAATATTAATACAGTAGATTACATTCAACATTCTGTGGCAAGTTAACCAAAAGATCAGAGTTTAAGCAGTCTGCTTGGCGTTTGAGGATTATTAGAAAGCTTTCGATCGGTCATCGTAAACGATGGATGACACCGATGATGTTCATCCATTTATAACAAGCGACAATTTTTCTAATTTTTAACCATGCTCAATAAGTGTAACTTCAAAGTCGATTTTTTTTTTACTTTTTTCATGAATAATATTGATACAAAGCACTCCGTGTGCGAGTTCGACTTGCACTTGGTCGGAAATCGGAATTATTATCTTACGTAAGAATTTTCAACGCTCCCACTTTTTTGTAAGAAAAACATAACACATGGTCGACTCCATAATTTATCATATCTTACAAGTCAAGGGATAGTATCTTATAAAAATATTAATTTTCAATGTCAATTATGTAACTGGGTCATAAGGCTTAGAAAAACAATAAAGTAATTTTAAATCGTATATATAGTAATAAATAATTAAAATAATTCGTAAAAAAACATACTTAAAAAACTAGATTCAACGTGAATGCATGTGTTTTTAAGACACTGTCACTAAAGTTTCCGTATAGATTTCGCCAAAGGAATTCATCACCCTGCAGCCATAATATCCTGAATCAGATTTTTTAACCTTCTCTATCTTCAGGTTGTTTTCATAGTGTAGATTGTCTTTTGTTTGAGCTGTATTGGTTGGTTGATCGCGTAACATTTTTGTATTGTGTGTCCAAGTAACTTCACCTGAGGGTTTCATCTCAAATTTGCAAGGCAAAATGAGCTCTTCGCCTTCTTTGACGTTGACGCGTGTATCAGGTGTCTTCACGAATTTAGGAGGACCTGGAATAAGAAATGAAATAATACTGATAGTAGCTACTAGGGAATACAGAATTTATCACAGAGAAATTAGATTTGTTTCATACTGTTAAATAAATATCTCGGGCTTCAAGCCATAGGGGCGTATAAGCAGTAGCGGCGTTAGGGTAGAGCGCGGTCGGGCGATCGCCCAGGGGCGCCGGACGAAAAGGGGCGCCGCAGGCCGCGGAGGAAGTATAAAAAAAAGAAAGCACTAAAAAGCACTTCCACTAAATGGCGACTCTAGCAAAAGTTGATTTTTGCAGGAAACGAATGGAACAAAGACAGTCATTTCCGTTCATTTTAACTAACATATAAAAAAACTGAAATTTGAAAAGTTCCAAACTTACATATCAATACAAAAACGAAAAAGTACAAATAGAATATGAGTTGTTAATTGAGTTTTGAAAACGAATTTACTTTTAAACATGAAAGAAAACTGGAAAGGTTGTCATGAACGGTATGTTCTTGACATACCGTAGCGACATCTAGTTTGATTTCGGTAACCAATGATTTTTTTTTCTAATACTTCCTAATTTCCCACAGACGCTCTTTTATAGTTCCCTTGCTCATTGAACAAGGCCTACTGGGTCGGCGAAAAAAGAACAAGAACCTTAAGGATTTTTTTTTATTATCAAGATGCCTCACTTTCAGCATGAATAAAAAGGAAACTTAACAAGAAAAATATTATATTATGGTAAAACAGAAAAACATACCGATTACCAATATGAAGATATGTATTTTATTTGGCAATATGACTAACATTGGCGGGCATTATCGCTCGGTCATTTAAAAAAAAAATCGTTTGAGCATGTTTAAACGTTAAGCTGAAGCTAAAATGCTGCAATACAAAGAATGCATCGGCAGTGGAGCCTGTGTCTGGCAAGTCAGATGGAATAGCTACACAAGAGATTGTGGATGAAAAATCCCGAAGTAAGGGAGCAAGCTCAGGATAAATCTGTTATTGATGTACAACAAATACATGTTCTAGATGATGTTGATACTGTTGTCCTGAATATAGCGTATCCAGCTACTTGTCCACTTATTTGAAATAGCAAAATAATTGATTATATAATAAATAGAGGCCCACTGCAAACTCACTGTCACAAAGTTACAACAATTACACAAAGTTATAGATAACAATTATGTGACACCCTGTTAGGGTAAAATTGAATCTGTACTTCCCTAATAATGTGATCCGTCAAAAATGAATCAGCTGCTTATACGCTATTTATATGTCTACTTTTTAAATAAAACTAATGTCACTATATAGTTGGAACAAGAACATCGTAACGTAGCGTTAAACGTTTGAGTACTGTGTTTGTTTGTTTTAAAATAATCGAATAATTGTTTTAAGAGCGTCCACTTATGTCAAGCAAGAAGATAATTGTTGATTATGTTCTTCTTCGTCAAAAATTAAATGAGATAGATCAAGGGAATCCCCGATTATAGAAAAACATTGTCTCAGTATGGTCGGAAAGTCGGGGTTTCCCGAGAAATTAAACCGATTGAACACTACTTTCCATTCTAATGCTGCCAACTTAACAATCTACCTAAATTTAGGGAAGATTACAAGTAAGAAGGCCGGGTCGAAAAAAAGACAAGTAACTGATTTGTAGTATGTAGTAGCAACTGATTGTAATTGAATTGCAGTTAGAGGGCGCCGAAGAAATTTCGCCCAGGGCGCCAGTAGTGCTAAAATCGGCACTGCGTATAAGCAATATCTTTACTTATTGTTTTCTTATATTTTCACGCGCACTATCCATAAATGAAACAACTAAATACAAACGCGATGAAAGAGTTGAAACGTTGATTCATTTATTAATATCTTTACTTTTCAAGAGACATGAAAATAATACATGACTGTTGGTCACAATCAAGAAGTGTTTCACTAATATCTTAATTAATTTAGCGATTAATTAAAAAATAGGTTTTTTAATTGAAAAATTAGAAAGAATGACTTTTTTTTATGTTCTAATGGTTGATTTCAAGTCTAATTTAATTATCACACAAACAGTAATTGCAAATTTATTACAACAAAGACTTAAATACGAAAAGACATTAAGTGTCACTTAATTACCTTTTTTATATATATATATAATTATTAAAAAGTCTGCAAGTTTATCGTGCAAAGGTAAAGTAAAGTTTGTCTGACAAAAGAACTCCCGCAGAATAATCCTTATTCCTTTAAAACAAAAACGAGGATACATCAGCAAGGCTTTTTTAAATTAATGAAGTCATATTTCAATTGGACATCTCTATTTGAAATAAGCTCGTTGGCGTAATGGATAAGCGCCGCGGCCCGCGATCGTAGTCGTTAAGCAACTTTCGCAAGGGTCGGTCACGGGATGGGTGACCAAAAAATTACTATCTCGAGCTACTCCGTGCTTCGGAAGGCACGTTAAGCCGTTGGTCCCGGCTGCATTTGCAGTCGTTAATACCCTCCAATCCGCATTGGGCCAGCGTGGGGAGTCATGGCTCATCTTCCTTAACCATCCATAAGGAAGGCCTGAGCCCCTGCAGTGGGGACGTAAAAGGGCTGGTGGTGATGATTTGAAATAAAACAGCGAAAAATGACCAGCCCTGACTGAGTTTCTTATCGGTTCTTCACAATATAAGATCTCCCGTCGTAGATTTACGAACCGATGGCGTATAGTTTCGATTTCACTAGTTCTCGTAACAGGCTAGGCTGCATAAATAATATAAATATTACTCACTGACAACGGTGAGGTGTATCGTGTTGTTCTGTACTTCACCGCCGGCTTCGTTGTCTATAACACAGGTATATTTGCCTTCGTCCTCCGGCAGGGTTTCTTTGATCAACAGCCGCTTGCCGCTGCTGCGATTGTAACGTGTCACGCGATCGTCACCCTTGTTGTTGACGTTCACACCATCCTTCCACCAGTCCGGGTGTGGCACTGGACTGCAAAGAGATTTTATTCAACTAAAATTAAGGCCCGCTCTGCCCTGCGATTCTATAAAACGATTCGAATTCACTTATGTGTCCGAATTTATTTATTTTATTTATTTACTCTTTATTTTATTAAATACAAATGGCGGACTCAATGCCAAGGGCATTACACAATTAATAACATACAGAATGCGAACGATACAATTACAGTCCGAGGTAGTGCTCACGCACCAATTTCCTGAATTACTCCTTACTCTGAGCATTCCTAACGTAAAATGGAAGAGCATTCCAAAAGCGAATAGCTGTAAGGGCAAAGGAATTAGAAATAAATGAAGTATGATGAAAGGGGGTTTGAAGAATTAGGTTGCTACTAGAGCGAAGATTACGCTCATGGCCGGAACCAAGATAACGAAACCTAGATTTCAGAATTGAAAGTTTCGAATTCGGAAACCAGGGGGCCAATTCTACTAAAAAAATCTTGTTTAAATCGAATTCCAGTTCTATTTTAGCTGGCATTGTATCGTATGTCACTTTGTAGAATAGGAAAACCATTAAAAACTGTTGTTTCGCTCGGCGTCGATCCGTTTTCGATTCGATTTAAACAACATTTATTTAGTAGAATTGGCCCCCTGAGTGACTTAGAATTCGGGTTTGCATTGTAACAGAATCGCAAGGCTGTAACAAAGCCTTTAGTTGTATTTTTCTCACGCGTGCATGACACGACGCATCTATTTGTGTTACTCATGTGCGAGTAAAGTTTGAACAGCGATAGAAGTGTATTAGCACGAAATTTCAAAGGTAGGCCTTATTATAACACGGGTTTTCATTACCGCAGGTAACTTATAGGTAGTGATTCGGAAACTCAGCTTCAGATTTCCATAACAAGTCGGTTAACTATCTAATCTAAATTTCAAAGGTAGGCCTTATTATAACACGGGTTTTCATTACCGCAGGTAACTTATAGGTAGTGATTCGGAAACACAGCTTCAGATTTCCATAACAAGTCGGTTAACTATCTAATTTGGGATATTATCAATATCCTATGTGATATTATAAAATATTTTAAGTTTAACTATGATTATTTGCGAGCAAGTTTAAGAATAGTTCTCTAATGCTAGGTAATTGCTTTTCATTGTCCTTGAATTGTTTGAAACCGGATTATTTATATTTAAATGCCAATCAATTATTATATTAAAGATCAATATATTCGTAGACCCAAACTAAAGTTTTGCAAAGCTAAGGGCTCTTATCACGAAAATTTTGTAGTGTCTACATCAAAATAATTAAACTATATATAAAGTCGCAAGTGTAAAGTTTAACTATAGACACTAAAAATGATTAAAATTTTTACTTTGATGAGTCAAAGTTATTTGCTTAGCAAATTCTTTAAATAAATGCTAGTTATGTATAATGTAACTTAAAAAAATGTCGTAAAATGTGTCCTCGTAAATACTTGGAGCATAATTGTCGATTATGCAAATTTTTCTACGTATAGGTACATAAACAGTACCTTCATCTATTATATTTAAAATGAATCATCAAAATGTGTGAACACGCTCAACTTCCAAACGTTTGCACCAAATTGAATGATGTTTTTTTATGTGTTTATTATTTTCGGCCAAAGTTTGTATATCAGAAAATTTATAAAAAGATATAATTTATAAAAAATGGTTATATTATGGCGGTTTCATAAACACATTGAAAAGATTTAAGATATGCAAAGTAAATACTGCATTAATTAATTTCAATGGAAACTGATTTTATAATTATAAATTAACTGGCCATTTTCAAATTGGTCGTGACAAAAATTGGAGTTAAAAAATGCGAAACCTTCGACATACATGAATTTCTTAAATTTTCTCAACATAAAATAAAATTATGTAATATCAAATACATTGCTCAGATTCCAAGGTGAGTAGCTAAAGCCCACGTATTATGTATTATGGAGCATCTGAGACAACGAAGGTACCACAACACCAAGACCCGGGACAATATAGTAAAAAAAATCCACGGTGATCCATTCGGGCATCGAACCCGGGACCTCAGAAATGGCGACACATACGGCGCCGGCGTTCAAGCGACTCGGCTATCATCATCATCATCATCAGCCCTTTTTACGTCCCCACTGCAGGGGCTCAGGCCTTCCTTATGGATGGTTAAGGAGGATGGGCCATGACCCTCCACGCTGGCCCAATGCGGATTGGAGGGTATTAACGATTGCAAATGCAGCGGGGACCAACGGCTTAACGTGCCTTCCGAAGCACGGAGTAGCTCGAGATAATATTTTTTGGTCACCCATCCCGTGACCGACCCTTGCGAGAGTTGCGAGAATTTCCTCATCTCTTATTTTTCATTTTATGGGACAATAATGTAAAACAAACAAGTGAAGCAATTGAGAAATGTCAAGATTTTAAATGGTCTATTTCGCGGAATTCGCTGTCATCTATCTCTATTCGTCTCATTGAATTGTCATATTTTCGTCTCGATTGCTCATTGCCTTAATCTGTCAGCGAAAGTAAACACAACTTTCTCCGATTCTTTTTTGTTATTGGCGATTTGCAATACTTGAATTGAATGACCTATTACGTAATGCCGATGTATACGGAGCAGCAGCGCCGCGGTCCGCTATCGTTATTATTAAGCAACTTTGGCATGGGTCGGTCACGGGATGGGTAGCCAAAAAATTATAATTTGTCAAGTTACTCCGTGCTTCGGAAGACACGTTAACCTGTTGATCCCGGTTTCATTTGCAGTCATCATAGCCCGTCCTCCTATAAGGAAGGCCTAAGCCCCTGCAGTGGGTACATAAAAGAGCCCCCGGTGATGAATGGTGTGTGGAGGCTCATTTTAAAAGATTTCTCGTGTGGTTTTAACCGTTGCTATTATTTACAAGGTTAAATATCTAGAATACATTTATTAATACCCGTAAATACATTCCTTTGATATGAATGTTTGTAACTAAATAAATTACCTTGCATTATGCTAGTTTAAAACAACGAAAGCACCAGGGGCGCATCTAGAGGGGACCTCTTGGATATTGGATACCTACCTACAGTGTATTTTTGATAATAATTCCTTGCTCAGAAGCTGGGTACGTCCATGTATATACCCAAGACACTAATTAGATCAATGACCATTTGCTATTATAATGATATGATAGGACCGTATCCGAATCCAAGACTTCGGAGATAGAGTTAAACTCACTTGCCACCGTATACGCAGTAGATCTCTGTGACGTCCCCGACCTTCGCCGTCTTGTCTCCGCTGACGAACTGTTTCACCACCTCGTGATCGGCCGGCTTCTCGTCCTTCGTGAGTTCTTCCACTGCCCACTCCACCACTGGCACTTCCCCGTCCAAAGCCGGTGACGTCACCAGGCAGACGTAATTAAACCTAAGAGATTCATATTGGTCAATATGTTAGACAACGTGGGAAACTAAGCGCAATTCATTAATATTGTGAAACTAAATTTTGCCAGCTTAATTCCCCTCCACCATGTAAGAAAAGAAAGGGATATTTATTATATGAGTATCTAAAGGAATCAAAATTTTCTTGATGTTTTGTTACCAACATTTTTTTTTATCTTACGCAAGAACTTTAAAGACTCCCTTCCTCTCCAGTGCAAGAAAAAGTAAGACATAACTCGACTTACACCCTAAATACTTTTATACAATAAATGAATGACGCTCAGGGTGCGACTGTTACAGGTACATTTCGTTGCATTTTACTACTTTGATACGTACTTTAAATAACGTCGAACGTATGAAAAATGTGTTACCAACAGCAGTCTTACAAATTTAGCAATATGTCCCAAATCTATTTACCAAAAGAGATGTCATGTGAAAATAAGTAAAACGAAACGAAATGTCGCTGAGCGGCTAGAGTCATGCCTAGAGATTTAGGCAGTCACATATCTGAACTGAACTCCGAATGCGATAGAGGAAATTTGATTATAATTGGTCTTATAATAAAAAAGCGCGATAATAGCATAAATTCCGTAATTTGAACACTTGTAAAATAAAAAATAAATGTCAAATTTTACTTACTTCGTGCTGACATCTTCTTGGGTTGCGTTCGCGAAATACAAATCGCCTTGAGGTGAGAAAATCCTTGGGTCTAAAATAGTTTCCAATTCCCCAGTGTCTACAGACTTCTTTTTCCATTCCACCATTGGTTTTGGGTAACCCTCGATTGGTGGGCAAGCCAGCTGGAACGGTCTTCCTTCCACAGGCTTCATTTTTTGTATGGAGATTTTGGGTATATTTATGTACGACTTTGTGACTTTAACTCTTCGCGTGGATGCGATACCTGTACACAGTTTAATATGGAGTTTAAATCTATAGATAATGCAAAGTTCTAACTTATCTATAAACTATCAACGTACAACTCAAACTAATTAGATTGAACTGAAATTTGACATATTTATTGCTATTAGCACAGATGTTAGCTAAGGTAAAATTTAAAGAAATCAAGGTTTAAATTGGTAATCATGGAAGCCACAGTGGAGAGCTAGTTAAATATGTACCACAGACAGGATAGATGGGTGTTGACGACCGACGAAAAGAAACTCGGTGAAAATTCCGCAATCATAGTTACATAGCTACTACGTCATCAGGCTCCAAGTAAACAACTTGTACTTATAAATAACGATTAAGTGAAAAGGAAACATAATCAAGCGCTATTAGACAGGATGGCGTATATTGCGTCAAAACTATTTTAAATTAATTACTCTTAAACCAATATGTAATTGTTGAAGTTCCCCAAGATGTTTATACATTTTACCATGTAAGCGTTTAGCTATAAAGTAACATATCTATCAATGTTGCCATATAAAAAAGGAGTATAAATGCGAGAAGTAATGGTGAATTTTAGAGGCAACTTTTTGCTTTTTTTCTCATGAGAATATTTTACGAATATACTTATATTCATCTTTGGCTTATGGCATTACCCTCAAAGTTATGATGTTATTTTTTTTGTACACACGGCTGTACGTCGTGTTACTATAATATGTATTTTGACTTCTACCATAAACGTATTAAGGTTTAAAAGTTAGTGAGAAAATTTGACGGTTTTGTAGTCTGACGTGCAGTTGTTTGTTTACGTACCCTCTTAAGTATAATAACAGATTTAGTGAATTTTTTAACTACTCACCAGCTGAAGTATTAGCTATACATTGATAAAATCCTTCATCTGTGTCTTTCATATTTTTAAATACCAGTTTCTGATTATTCTCCACAATATTAGGATTGCCTTTCAAGTCTTGGAACGCAGATATCCATTCAAACCTAGAAATCCACAATATAATGTTATTTCTTTTTACTTTAACTCATAGCCAAAGAAATCACCAAAGTGTAAGTTATTGTTAATAGACTGAAAAAATAAAAATAAAAAAACTGTGGAGATAAAAAGTGTAAAAAAGAAGTTTGATAAAATATTTTTATGTTACAAGATTTTTTATAAATTAATCTGTAATATCATTCTTTAGTCAAGCGTCAAATGACGAGAAGCAAAATGCGCAAGTAGCAGGAAAGACTGTCAAAATACCATGGACCCCCAGCAGAAAAGGGGCACCGTGATCAGAAAGGGCCATTGCTCAGAAAAGACCGTTGTAAGGAGGGCAGCATTAGTCAAAATGTCAAGCAATATAATTACACCACTTGTAAATATCCTCTCTATTGTTTTGGAATTTTATTATATGATAATAAGTTATAACAGCACTTACTTCACATCTGAGGTGTCACCAGATTCAATTTCACAGCTTAGCTCTAACTTTTCTCCTACCCGGAAAAGTACTTCCTGTGGTAACTCCTTCAGAACCGGTGGTTTGCTCACTGGATGACTTTGGGCTGATCCTGGTAACATTGTAAAAAGTATTTATCATATTTATATCGATAAATTCACATTATAGTTCATGAATATATGAAAAAGGCATACCCAAAATTGCTAGCGATATTACTAATGAATACACTCTAGTACCCATTTTGTTTACCTGAAAAAAAAAACGAGAACGTATAATAAATTAATCTAGCAACCTCCCGCTTAAAATAACACTCTTCTGGTCCACTGGCAATGTCAATAAAAATATACAATAATCTGTCAAATTCAATAAAAAACTTAAATAAAGAAAAATATTACATAAAACGAATAAAGAATTTAATAACTAAAAATAATTATTATACCACAAAAGAATACCTAAGTGAAAAACTTTAACTCTAATTTAAATATAATCTACTTTAGTATTTTAATTTTAATATCTACTCAATTTCAATATCTGCTAAACGGGTAAGTTTTTAAAACATAAATCCTACATTGTGGAATGTAATAAATTAATAAATAAAGAGAGAATTAACTTACCCTGAATGCAGCCGTAATGAAGATACTACTCGAAGGCGGGAAAACGACTACAAAAATGATGGTCTTTTCGCGCTTTTTATACCGTCACGTCAACATTGTGTATGTAGTAGGCACGTAGGTAGCAACCAAGGTATCCATCGATATCACAGCTTGATCTTGTCTTAAAATTTCAGGTAAAGTACCGAGTGAGACTTACTCACGTTCATCATTATTTGTTATTGTAAATTCATAGCGTGAACCTCAGTGAGCAGATTACTCATAATCTTTTTATATAATTAGAATATTTTATGTCTAGGTATAGTTTTCAACATAATTGTATGCACTTTAAACGCGTATTGGAGCTCGTGTGCTGCAGTGGTTTGTGCGTTCGGTCTGCGATGCGGAAGTGAAGCAACTTTTTCTAGGATCGATCGTAGAATGGGTGACCAAAAATTTATTATCCTATGCTGGTACTTCCTGCTGTTGTGCCCGGCTGTATTTGTAGTCCTTAACACCTACCATACCGCAATGGACCCACGTAGTGGATCACGTATGGTGCATTCTCCCTATTCGATTTGGTTTCGATTTGGTCCATAGGAAGGGCTATAGCAGCGGGGTCATTAATATACTGGTGATGATGATAAAAGACGTACCATTTGTAATAAATTATTTTTTTTTTAGTAGTTGACATAAGATAAATGAAAGAAAATCAATTGTCTCAAATTATTTCAGGAAATAATGTAAATTATTTTTGCTATGTTTTATTTGTTTTGTGAAAATGTTAAGTGAATACAAAAATAAACTCTTCACTTTTGTTAAAAATAATGCTTTTTTGTGACATAAGAAATTTTTATGTTGACATTTCAAAAGATAATAGATATCCATATACGCTTTTTCGTTCATTTTGAAGACATAAATGTCGTCTAAATTAAAATTACGTAAAACATACCGTAGCCGAATCTTTCAGTTCAACTTAAGTTTATTTTTTTATAGAGTACAATTATTGACGAACAACAAACTTTGTAAATATATCAATAACTATCACACTCTTTGATTTTTAGAAAATTCCTGTATGAAATACTGCAGTCTTTATTATACATACATAGGGAAAACATATTGTTTACGAAGTCGGATCTCCTTTTCAAAGTCGGTTAAAATAAATAACATTCATTGCCCATAGCTCGGTTAAGTAGCAAATCCACTTGTATTATGAAAATCTGCAACATCGGAGGTATCAAAACACCTAAAGTCAATCGGGAATCAAACCCGGAACTTCAGAGATGGCGCTGAACTTTACACTGACTTTACGCGACACTGAAATTTACGGCTTGTAAGCCATTGGCGCACGGAGGTAGTAATAAACCGTTTCATAAAAGAGTTCCCTTGGCATAATTCTTATTGCTTTGCAATAAAAGCGAAAACATTGTGACCGAGGGACTTCTTTCGTGAAACGAAGTCCAAACAAAAACAGTATTATTAATTAACAAGGTTTAGCGTTGGAGTAAATTCATATTCGTATTATTAAACAGAGACTTGGAAAAGGTTAACCTAGTACGAAGTTCTACGGGAGAAATATTTACTCCTAGAAGGTAGCAGGTTTGATTATTCTCGGTATAATATAAATTTGGACTAATACTAAAATTGCAATTTTAGAGTAAATTAACTCTGACGCTAAAACTTGTAAAACCGGTAGAGTGAATTGAACTACTTACTAGATCATTAGCACGTAGGAAAAGTAGCAAATGCAAAACGGGCCCTGCGTGTGGGAACCCCCTCGCAATTGGCAGCCTCGCTATGGTTCAGAGCCAATTAATTAATTATTCAAGTCAGTGTTAAATAATGTAAGAAATAGAATAAACCGTACTTCTGACTAGTCATATTTTAAGTATGAAGATCAACTGACAAATAAAACTCAAGTACAAAAAAATATTGATAAAGTATACAGATACACACGCACACAAACCAGTTTCTTAATAAAATTAATAGGCTCCTGATTAATATAAGCCCAAGGCCCCACAAATTCACGATCCGCCCCTGAAAATAACCGAAAAGGCAATCTTTATCCGATCAACCGACTTATACATGGGCACCAATATTATTTCCCGCCATTATGTAACGAAAAGTAAACATAATTAAGTAAGGCGGTCTTGATTATTATCGTCTCCATTAAGTAGTCCTGTCCTAAAAAGGTCGTTATTCGATTTCTTTCCAAGATTATCTCGCTTGTTACCGATTTGTCTCCAAAAAGTTGTACAGTCTATATAGCTATTCTGTTGCAAAAAGGTTGCAAAACTATTTGGAACTTGACGTCGAGTGCAACGCAGTGACAGCTTAGAGGTTCGATGATAATAAAAGAATCACCTTTATTATCTTTCGAAGTAGGTTTTATTGATTGAAGCTCTATGTGTTCAAAGTCGAATTCTAGTCTGTTTGTTTACCCGAATGCAAAATGGTTATGTTTTCGCGCGTATCTTGTGTGTGTGAGTGTGTACGTACTCTTCTTAATTAACTCATATCTTCAGAACCGCTGAACGGATTTAGATAATTGAGGTCTCGTTAGATCAGTTTTTAAACTAACCTGATAATTTGTCTAACTAAAAAGATATAAATAAAATTATAATTAAAATGCAACTCGCCTGCGTGAAAACAACTGAAAACGTTGGAATAAGGCAGTCGGAGGCATAAAATTGATTATTAAGACAAATAATTCTCACTTTGTGTGTATGCTGTTTGTCGTGATTGGTTTTAAAATGTTGCAATATGGCAAAAACTAATACCGTTAACAACTATGCTTCAAAGTTCACTAACTCGTAACTTAAAAGTGAACAAAATCCTGGTTCATCTGCCCTAATCAACGTCAATAGTTTGATTGCAGATATGGGTTTTCCTCTTACCGTACTGCGACTTCTAGCTCAATATATCCGCGTAATACGCTATCATCTGTCTCATACATTCCGCCGTAGTTTTGCGAACCGATGGCGTAGTTTTCGACTTTCACAAGTGCTCTGTAAAAGCCTAAACTGAATAAATAAATTTTGATTTTTTTTTTTTGATACATTTGCCTGTTGATTTCGTATCTGTCTTTCTTTAAGCGCATGCGTTTACGTCGCATACAACTCACCGCAAAACTTCTGCAGTCTGATGTCCGATTCTTCGAACGAAAGTATGTCAATGTTAATCTGTATTTTATTTTACATCACATAATAATGTTATCGATGTTTTTCGATGTTTTTTATTATGATGAAACTCGCAAAACTATGACAACATAATATATGAAGTCACGCCACAACCGGAAGATCCAGTGGTTCACTTATCTCAGGGTAACCGAGTCCTTAGTTTAGGAACTATAATTATGCAGTGTTGTCCTGTTATAAAAAGTCGATCTCCAGCGTATGTGAGTAATTTTACAGCCGAGGTAATTAAATTACTTTTACAATATAAACGTAATAGTTTTGTCCTTAACTAATCTCATTAGAGGTGCAATGAAATAACCAGTGACATTTATTTGAATTATTAAGTACCCTCTTAAGAGTGAGACGATCATTATTGCCATTGGTTGAGTTTGAAACAATTGCGTCAATGATGCAAGTCTAATGCACTTATTGTTATTAGCACGTTTCATATATTTCTTAGAAAACTTGTAAAGAATAATATTAACTAACACGACTTTATTTACTTTTGTTGATTCGTGCCAATAGAACAGGGGTTCCCAAACTTATTTCTGCAACTGCCCATTTTGGGAATAATAATTTTTTTAGCACCCGTATTTTTTCAATAACTTAAAACCACTATAAGTGCAAAATAAATTAATTATTATGTGCCATATCAGCAGAGATTAAACACTCTAAGCAAGACTTTTACTACAACCCGCAAGAGGATTGTGAGACCTGAGCGCAGTAGGTACTACACGGTCTCTTATAAACTCTGCCTAAGAATTCTAAATAACTCCCCCATTTATTTTTCTGGGTCTCTTACCGCTATCCATTTAGGCTCTCAGCGTTATCGCCCACTTTGGGAAAAGCTGCACTATAATTTATTCCTTATTACTACAATTACCTGTTTTCCCGACTTCGCCTGCGTAAATTATGTCACCCGCGTATGACGTAGCTTCCCCTAGTGGAAGAATTTCTAAAATCAGTACAGCAGTTTAAGAGCTTATTTAATGCAATTAAACAATGATCAAATGAATTTATAATATCGATATACATAATATCTACTTAAAGTATGGAAGCGAAATCAATGCCGGGTACTCTATAAGTACCAGTCAACATAGGGTTCACTCCTAAGTTTTGACTTCAAAGAAGAATCAAGAAACTGCCAAACCACTACTTACTACAAATACCAACTATCTTACTAGTATAAAATCTATCACTTTTTCACTTGAAAAACATATATTTAATCGGAGCCTTAAAATAAACCTAAACGTAGGTTTATGTATAATACTATTTGTTAATAAATTATATCTATTACTTATCTATACTAATTATATTATTGAGATGAAAGAATTGATTTTTTGTTTTTTTGCATGCAATAGATATCGAAACTTCTGCCTTCTGCACCGATAAAAAAATGCGCTAAGTCGCGGGAAAACAGCTAGTTTTAAAGAAATTTCAAACATATTTTACTTTAATTAATATCATTTGTCGAAATCGACCGATTTTTTCGCGGACAACCAATTGATTTGCGGTGCTCTGGGGCTACACGGAGTACACTTTGAGAAACACTGGCGACAAGAATAATCCTCCACTGTAAGAATGGGGATAACCGATAAAATCTGACTAAGTGCGAGTTAGATTTGCGCATAAAGGGAGAACATTTGTTAAATATTTGTTTTATTTAAATTAAATTAATTATTATTTCAAGCCTCTACCTGTTTCTGTTTTCAATATCAAGCAAAAAACTACTTTTGTTGTATGGGAGTCCCCTAAAATATTTATTTTATCCGATTTTCTGAAAGTAAAGTCTTTGTAATAAGGTTCCCGTTTTACCTTTTGGGTACGGAATCCTTAAAACGAATCACCGATTTCCCTGTGTCCTATATTTTTTAAATTTAACTTTACTTGTAACTTAAAACGTACTCCAAGAAAACTTATGTAAGGGTGGGGTCACTCTTGACATTTCAATGAACAACAAGTCGATTCTCGATTACATAAAATATGCGCGGCAAACGATGTCATTGTCAAGGGCGTCCGGCGAGTTTATTGTATGCAATTACTTTTTAAAACATGTCTGTTCAAAATGTTTTAAGGCAAGATTGTACGAAATTTCCACTTTTTTTAAAACTATTTTTTCTAGGACTATTCTTGTAATTTTGCCAAATAAAAATAATTTAATGAAAATTAAACATATGATCAATTGTTTGCTAATAACGGAAACATATTTTAATAACTGGCTCGATAGAAAATCGCAGTCTCTAAATAAGTTTTGTTATTATTATAATATAATCTTTATTGCACACATACAGACAGGAAAACAAAACGAAATTACACGGTAAAACAATACAGAGTACACAATAGGCGGCCTTATTCCTAAACAGCAATCTCTTCCAGGCAACCTATGGAGGATAATAATAAAAGGAAAGGGAAAATATGGGGTATTGGGTGCAATGGTCAGAAGGACATGATAAGATATATCATTACAAATAAGAAAGTATAAGTAAATAGCATTAGCATAGAGAAAGGAAATAGCTTTTAACTCGATCGCCGAAAGAATTAAGTGAGTGAGCGTGCCTGACTTCCTCCGGGAGAGAATTCCATAAACGCACAGCATGTACAGAAAAGGAATAGGAGAAGAAATCGGAAGTATGACGCGGGATGTCCAAAGTGAGGTTGGATGACCCAAGTAGCACAAAACACCATTATATCAAACTTATAATAGCACGAGTCCAAGCGTTAAGCATTATAATAAAATCGTATATCAACCGTATTTCTTTTAAACGACTCTTATACATAAAATTTGGGCCCCCCCCTTTGTACGACTTTAAGCTTTATAAAAGCTGTGCAATAGCACTACAACTTTTGTATAATAGCATTAATAAAGTCGGGTAAAAGCATTCTAATAGCCACAAAAAGTTCAATTAGCACCTTAAAGTGCTAATTGAACTTTTTGTGACTATATTACAATTGATATGCGTAAATCAAAATTATAATACGTTAATTTAATATTATAAAAATGCTTACTGTTTTATTTCCTTTATAAAAAAGTATATTTAATAGATTTTAAAAACATATAATCGGTTTAAATTATTGTTTTGTGTAAGTGTCATGACATGTTCTCTTGGCTGGTCTTTTAAGTATTTTTGAATATTGATTTAAACAGCTCGTTTTGTGTGAAATAAGCTGCACACATCAGTTTGTGGAGTAAAATATACAAGTTTATGGTGTAAAATACACGCGCCTTCGCAAACTTCCTTTAATATATTAAAAATAATAAAAAATTAACCTAGTAGCAAAAATTTTTGTTGAATTTTAGATTTTTTAGCATTGTTTTAACAACATAATTGCTTTTATAGGCATCTGTGCACAAAATAAATGATTATTTACCCCTTTTCATCTGACACAGTTGACTTTAAATATTTTGTAAGAATTGGAAAAAGAAAGCAAATGGCGACTCGTAAAATTAAAGCATTAGGTATTCAAATATGGTGTAGTAGAGCTGTTAATCGTATTATGGTTAGACACAAAACTAAGAGCTCGTAATTCACCGTATAACACACTCCCATTTTAGTTACAGCCGTGTTTTTACACTTCAGAAGTATCTTATAGTGCTTATAATCATCAAACGATTATTTCATTTTTATTTTGATTTTTAAAAGCTTCAATTAAATTAGAATACTCTTTTTTCAGTTTTCATTTATATCCACCTGTTTTCTTTGTTTTTCCCAACGTTTTTTGTCCATGGCGCCAGCGATGCGTATAAAATGCCACCATTACAATACAATACATAAAATAATATTACATTTTAATTTCACATAAAAAATAATTACGATCTATTTATTACTTCTATCTCTATAAATAACTTAATATTGATCAAAATATAGCTTAATGTTTTATAAAAGCATAGATTAAGAAGATAAAGGAGCTTGAGCTTGATTAAAGAATACTTTAAGAACAAATCGGTGCTAAAGTTTTACTAGTTCTTTATTCAATGTGTATATAGGATAAGCATTAAATCGATACAACCATAGACCATTAGAAAACCTTTGTTTCTAGAAAATGACTAAATACAACTAAGTGCACTAAATAGTATTACGTTAATGCTGATATAATATATAATGTTTTTCATATCACCGAAATACGATAACAGCTTTATATTAATATTACCCAATACTTAAATAGGAGTTTTGACATTAGTATACTTTTTTTATTAACCATAATATGGCATTAAGCATTATTAGATAAAATAAATGCCTTTAAACAGATTCGAAACTTGACCAGTGCTGATTAAAAATGTTAGTATGACTTTAGGACATAAATTGGTTCTTATTTTAGTTTATATATTATTTGTGTGCTACTTGGGGAGGATCGCAAGGAACTCAGTGACGAAGAAGAACGAAATGAGAAACATTGTTTGAGATAATGTGGAGAGGAAGGTAGGAAAAGTATAGAATATAGTAACTTTAAAGTGTGCAAGTCCCTGTGCCGGCGAATAGGGAGCCAAGATAATCCAAACGAAAATTCGACTCACGGTCAAATTTACGAAGGTTGAAAATGAATCGGATACAAAAATTCTGCAGACAGTTTGTGAAAAAAAAAATAACATAACGAATGCGCTAAAGAGACTAGTTCCAGTAGGCAAAAAGTTGCGTTATCTATTAAGTGAATAGTACATGGCAAATACCTTCTTTCTAACGGCCTCCACCTGCGGCTTCCAGGAAAGATTTTGATAGAAGATGACGCCAAGGTTTCTAACTATAAATAGTTTAAAGTAATAAAAAAATTTTTTTTTTATTAAAACTGCATTTGATTTTTTTCTGTGATTAAAAATGTATGAAATCAAGTGAGCGTATTTTTTCTTTCTATGAGTATTTTGTTTGCGTATTTATTGGGAACGTAGGCCGAGGTACAAGAGCGCCTTATTAAGAACAGCGGACTACCAGATAGATAGAAGCGCGAGTTATTCATTGATGACGTGACCATATTAAAGATAAATGTCATAATATTGCGATAAAAGCATTTCTCCATAGTGCGGTCCCATTATTATGAGTATTTTAGGTTAGCATTTCAGACGATTTTAGAAATCAGTAGCTGTTCTCCCGCGATTTTGCCCGCATACATTTAAACTTCCTTTAGGCTAAAGTAACTTTCATCTAATCGATCTTCACTTCGTCTTTCGAAAATTCCCGTGACTCATTGAAATACCGCTAGCTCGTTTTTTATCGCGACCCTAGGTTAAGAGGGCGCATAAAGAAAAATCACTAACTTTCCTATCGTAATTCTTTCCAAATCTATACTAATATTATAAAGCTGAAGAGTTTGTTTGTTTGTTTGAACGCACTAATCTCAGAAACTACTGGTTGGAATTGAAAAATTCTTTTTGTGTTGAATAGACCATTTATTGAGGAAGGCTTTAGGCTATATAACATCAAGCAACTTTTAGGAGCGAAGAAATAATGGAAAACGCGGACGAAGTCGCTCGCGGCCACTAGTATTCCATAAATCGCTATGGCAGCCCCTTTTAAGCGATTCGGAACGTAAGTATAATGATTTGAATGATCAAGAAACACAATATAAACTTAGAAACTTCATACTTAAAATAGCCTTAGACAATTGCAATTAACGTCAAACGATATCGTTCCTTCAAAATGTTTTAAAACATGTCACGATCGCAAACGCCATCAAACTTCAAATATTTGTACCGTGAAATTCGTGAATATCTTTAAAATTTCAAACTGAAAGGGAAGGCCTCTAGTTTTGTACAAAGAAAGACATCCAAATAAGCTGTAGGTAACTCAATTTTTTTGTTGTAATTATATATATTTTTTTTGTTGTCCCTATTCTATCTCATCGTGGGTGTAAGCATCGCTTACGCGATAGTAATGCCCTTTTTCACTAAACCTTAAGCAATTCTAGTTATGGCGTGCGTTAAGCGGCGCCTTGCGCTTGTGCATGTAACATGACAGGTCACAAAATTTTCAAGGAATAAAAGAAAAAAATGCTTGTTTGGAATCCGCTTAGGTGATTCGTAAGATTAGGCGTTTACTAGATAACCTATGCCTTGTTCTTACGTGGTGAAAGACATGTCTTGTGATTGAAGACTCAAACACCATGAATCGTCACGTACACATACAGATCGAAATTTGATAAAGATATTTCTTTTACTTTAGAACGCGAATTTATCACAGACTATCGGCCTGATAATTTTTTAAAGTCACGTAGGTACATATGTAATAAAACATATTCATAGGAAAACACATTGAAGGCGAATATAAGTCTCGTATATTGTTAATGCGCTGGAACCTCGTCTAAATGCGTGACATCATTTGAAAATAGATTGTATAAATAGCACAAAATGAACGAGATAAATAATTTATTAATTTATTGAAATATTTATGAATAATCCCCAAAATTTTTTTATACTTAATAATTTAATAACTTTCCTAAAAGATCGATTAATATGTTACCATTAAGGTATTTAAAAATAAAAAAAAAAGAAATCATGAAATATATAACATTTACTTTGCAATAATGCAATAACAACCGGATAATACTTTTTTTTTTAAATAAATCTTAAAGTAATAATGTAACAAAAGACATTATATTTCTTTTTAGTGAAATAATTTTTGCTTATTGTGAAAATCATAATAGCAGTTGATATTTTAGTGAACTTAAACAAGTAACAACAATACTTAACAATAACAATCGTACATAACAAAATAATAACAAAAATTGTGTGTAATCTCAACACATCCCAACTCAATCAGCGTACTCATTAATTAGAGTTTATTTGTTAACTGTACTGATTTTATATCGTAATGTCGTCACCAAAATGGCGGCCAGTTGCATTTGAAATTTACGGGAATTATAGTTCTAAACTTAAAATATGCAAGAGCTTTTTAAAGCTTGATATTTCAATATGTTGGAGTACGTACGGGTGTACATCACTCAGAACCCAGTGCGGAGGTCAGGCGCCGAAACAGCTGGGGGCTTAAAATTGTGTTTTCTTCTGTACATAGGTGTTTTTTTTTTAGAAATTGAATTTACACTTTGATGATAATTAAGCCTGATATAGATTTTAAAATTAAAAAAATATCAGTTAAGATTCATTATTTTTGAAGAACAATTATGACGAATGTACCGAACCGTAAGTTGAATTTCCGAAGACTTGGCATGCTATACTAATCAAACGACGCGGTAATCAGATATTACAGTATTTTAGGTAGGTATCAAACAAACATAATAGACAACGTTTACGTTTAGTTTTCCTTATATATTTGATCAAGAATACAACGTTTTGGCAGGCAGGGCCTACTCGTACTAAAAAACAAAAGATTGACTATGAGATATATAAATGTACACTAATAGGCTTGTGTAATACATGTTTCTGTTATAGCTAAGTTCGAAAAATATGAACCATTTTAACTTGTAAATAATATTGAACAAAATATATTTTTTACACTAATTTGGAAAATATTACACTTTGAAAACTTGAAAACATCAGGGAAAATATACATAAAAAGTTACAACTTTAATCATTAAATATTTTCAAAGAAATGGGTAAAAAATCATTATTTGTCTTTTTAATATATTTTCCTTCTTCATTTCATTAGTATTTGTATGTATCATATCTTATATATTTATATATTATGTTATATGTATTTGTATTTGTGGTCTTCTGGTGTCTATTATTATTATGCTTCAATTATTTATTTGGAATTACCTACTCTAAGTTTACACCCCCGTTTCGTTGCAATAGGGATGATGACTGGGTAATAAAAATGCAATTCTATTTAGTCCGTCAGTCAGATAATAGAAAAATATTAGATACGTATTTTTTTTACTTCAAATTAACAAGAAATAGTATAGATAACAGGCATTAAAGTTGAGGAGTGGGGGCTCGCTACGTCACAGTTGAGTAGAAAACGTACTCTAACGTGACGTCATGCGAAATTTCAACTCAATGTAACGCCGTAATTTTATAATTACGAAAGAAATTAAAAAATACGTGTTTAATATTTTTTAACACTCTACCTGACGGACAAACAAACAAAAATTAATCATCATCCCTATTAACATTCCCCTCCATCCAACGGTTGTCTGGCAGAAATCGCTTTCAGCGATAAGACCGCCATTTGTTACACTTTGATGTATTGTTTAGTTTGATAAATTTATGAAGATATCTGGGGTGTTGACAATAAAGTGTTATTATTATAACAGCTATAAACATAAACGCACAAATAACAAAAGTATTATAAAGATTGCCCAGACACCCACACGTTTTCGCTACCGTAGCACAGTCTGACGTCACTTAGTGCCTTGAAGTTGTAGAGAGCATTAAAGGTCGACGTGCAGCAGTTCCACAAACATAGCACCGTATCTCCGAAACTATTAATCGCATACATGCTGTTGCTTCTACCTTATTTCTCTGATATAAATGGACTATTTATTAATAAAATAAGAAAAGTTGTCAACTAGTTATTCTTGTTGAAGCTTTTAAAATAATTATCATCAGCCCTTTTACGTCTCCACTGTAGGCTTCCGTTTGGATGTAAAGAAGGATGGGCTATGACCCTACACGCTGGCCCAATGCGGATTGAAGGATATCAACGACTGCAAATGCAGCCGGGACCTACGGCTTAGCTTCCCTTCCAAAGCAAGTATAATAATTTTTTGGTCACCCATCTCATGACCGACTCTTGTGAAAGTTGCTTAACAACATCGATAGGGACGCGGTGCTTAT